ATATTCAATATTTTTCCTCGAATTAGCACCGAGTTGAGTGGGTGGAATTTATTTGAATGATCGGCTTTTATTCGATTTTCAAAGGATTCTCGTTTAACAAAATGTTAAATGATAATGATATTAGAATCGGGGGAGAGAGGGAAGATAATAAAGAAAAATTTAAAGAGTAAGAGGAAAAATCTCGAAGAGAAAATGTGAGAGAAGAGGACGAAGACGCGATAAGAAATATCGATCGAAGAGCGTGGAACGTTTTAAGAGACAATAGGAGAATTAAGTGGCATGACTCTTTGCGTGGTGTGTCTTGATACGGCCGATTACGCCATAGACGCTATAAGCGAGGTCTTCTATACGCACCACCCACATCCCTAGGAACCTGGTACCATCATATTTATAACCTCTGTTCTTCTCTAATGTTATAGTCAACTATCCTTTACATATTTACGTGCTTCTTTCGTAAATGGACCGTGCATTTTATGGTAATCATTACCTTCTATTGTCCCAGTGGTAGCGTTATTACGCTTTAACACTAGTTTGAAAACCTTTGTTTTCTAAGTGAAACTTTAAAAAAAAAAAAGGAAGAAAAAGAAAGAAAGAAAGAAAGAAAAAAGAAAAAATCATTATAATCAGTAAAAAAATCTATTGTTTTTTTAAATAAAAAATAGCTGACTCATACAAGATTCTTGATATTTTTTTAGAAAGTTTGTACTTTTATGAGAAATAAGGAATTATGAATCGATTCCTTTTTCAAGTTAAAAACACGGATAATCGAATAGTATGAATTCTTGAATTTAAATGAATTATCCAAGATGTAACTAATGAAATGTCGAGCCAGCAATCATGTCATTTTCTAAGGAGACTGTTTAGGTATCGGAGGTTGAAATCGAGTACTTATTCGGAATCAAATAGGTCGAATTAAGTCAGGCTGATGACGACGACGACGACGACGACGACGACGACGACGACGACGACGATGATGATGATGATGATGATGATGAGGATCGATCGATCGTTCGTTGTGTGGTTAATCGGGCCGAACGTGGGTGTAATTGGCCAATTAGTTAATCCCTGATAAAAGTTTCGTCGTGTATCATTAGTCCTTCACGATTCATTACGAGAGATCTTTAACTTGTATCCTGGCGGATTCTTATTTATTAGCCCGTTACATCTTATTATTATCCGTTCGTACTAAATCTAATTTACGTGATTAATCGTCAGCTAGGGAGATTATCGATCACGAAAGATTTAATATCAAAATTATGGAAATTATTCTCAATGTTATCATCTTGTAATTCGTGTACTATGTACAAGAACGTTCGAATTTATTCGGAATATGGTAGAGAAACGTTCTCAAACTCCAGTGAGACTGTGGCAAAGTACGATTAACTTTGGCCGAGATAATTCTCGTACCGCGACTAGATGAGTAACAGCATTCCACGGAAATTCGCTGGGCGTCAATGACACCAGCGAACAACACACTACCGACAATTAAACTCCACGTAGTTTTTTATTTCTTTTTTATCCGAGAGATACATGCCTCTAGTATTTCTTTTTTTCCTTTTTTTAACCAATCATTATTTCTCTCTCTCTCTCTCTCTCTCTCTCTTTCTCTCTCTCTCTCTCTCTCTCTCTCTCTCTCTCTCTTTCTCTACTTCTATTGCAATGATTCATCGATCGTGCAAGTATATATTATACGAGATAGCCTTTTTAATGTACAAAGAAATGATTTTCTTTTCTTTGTTTTGTTTACGATAATATCACATTATAGATTTCCGGGCCCTACTCGACGATGACACGTACAAAAAGTTATTGAGATGCCTAAAGTGATAGTTAACTTGTATCGACGGTAATGCTCGAACGCATACGTGATAAGATGTCTGGCCATTCACACGTACTCATTTTGTTGAATACGAAGTCGGCAGGTCGATAAGTACTATGCTTCGCTTGTTGTATAAGGCTTTTGCTTCTTTGTTCTTTACTTCTCTCTTTCTTTCTTTTTCTGGTACAGCAATAGAACGTATCGTTCTTCGTCTAAAATCAAAAGGAACGAATATTTACGGAAATTTTAATGTATTCTCGCTAAGAAAAAAACATTGTTTTTCATTTTATCGCATTAAACTCTTCGATAATACGGTCACGTTATATAATTTTCTTATAAAATTGTATAAAACAACAAACAAAAAAGAAAAGAAAAGTAAAGGTTATAAAGGGTTAAAATTTTGTTTCTTTTTTTCTCTTTTTATTTCCTTTTTTTTTTTCAGAGTAAAAATAGAAAATATAACAGTTAACGACTTTCTATCGTGTTTTTTGTCTCGTTCGTACGATCGAAGTCAAAGTTTTTGTGTAGCTTCTCGCGTTCCGCTTGCGTGACAAGATGGCTAAAGAAAAGGGGTGGTTGGAGGACAGGGAAGAGAGGGATAGAAAGTCTCCTCTCTCCGTCTTTCTCTCTCTTTCTCTCTCCCTCTCTAAATCGGATCCCTACTTATTCGAGAAGATTCGAAAAAAAGGAATCGGTGAATGATCGATAATCGTTTTAATCGATTCCGCTTGAACCAAAACCAATGTAGCACGGAAAGTGTTCGGCCCTCGAACCGTAACCGATATTTTTCCGGTTTCCGTTCCCGTAACAACACCGATTGAGAATAACGGTCCTCGTCGAATGGTTACGGTTTCCGAAAGTAGTAGTACGAGGAAGCCGATTTGAAATAAGTCAAATGCCATCATGTTTGTAACAGGAAGAACAGAGAGAGGGAGAAAGAGAGAAATGCAAGAAGAATTATTAAATGCAAGAAAAGTTTAACCGTTATTGAACGTGATTGGCTCTTGAAAAGAAAAGATGAAAAAAGAATCTTGAAATGGACGTATGTGTATGTGTACATATATGTACGTTTATATACATTTATATATTTATGTATATATATAATATACATTTTCTTATTATCCTAGTAAATAATCCTTCAATTATATTCTCTTTCTAGGCCAAGATCATTTTTCTATTGTTAAGACGATCACGAGATACCTCGTGACAAAGTTACATCGCTAACAAACGGCGATATCACCGAAGATGACACGATTTTCTTTACTTTTTATTATCAAACTGAAAATATATGTATGTATAACGATGAATCATGGTTAGTTTTAACTGTGTAAAAACATCCCTCGAATTTTAGCTAAACAATAGAAATATGACTCGTTTATTTTTCTTTATAATTTATAATCATTTCGAATATTTCAATGGTCTTGATTTCTTCAATTTCCGCTCTATAGAAATAATATTCTAGTTTTAATTATATGATAAATGGAATAATAAATCTATATAGGTACGCAAAACGATCGGTACTCTATTACGTATTTACTTTATAAGAATGAATCGAAGAGGCGTCGACATTCATCATACGGCATATTTCCCGACACACCCATCCTGTTGTTCTCACCATGGATTTTCCACTTCCTACGATCGAGAGATTATCTTCCAGCTCGAATATCGCTTTCGAGCTTAACTGTACTCGATATATATATATATATATATATATATATATATATATATATATATATACATATACATATATATATCTTGGATTGTTTATGGGAAGTGATAAACGAAAATAAGTTTCTCTGTGAACAAAGTTTGTAAATCTTTATTTGTTAATTGCTAATTATTTACTATTTATATTCCTACCTGTGAACAAAGAAACGACAATTTACGTTTATATTTACACTATTTAAATTTTATATTTCACTCTTGTGCTACTTCTCTCGTTTACGTTCTATATCTTATTGCCCGTTTCTCTCCCAAATCTTAACGGCTCGGTTTTGTAGGTAACTAAAGAATTTGTAAATAACAAAAACAATGGAAGGGCGGAACATGAGACGCGCGGCTAATCTTCCTAAAGAAAGTATACTTTCTTTACATATATATTAAAAATTACATTACGATAATCTGTTTGATGAAATTTTATTTAAAAAGAAAACTACATTAAATATTAATATATTCTAATTATACGCATGCAAACATTTAAGATTTGAATCCAATTCGATTGAAAAACAACGAACAGCACATTTTGCTCGTATATAAATTTTTGTTGAAGGGTGGAGGAAGGGAATAAATCGCAAAAATACATGCAATGTATTTCACGTGGGCGATGTCCCGTTGTAATTTCTAGCGCAAACCCAATCAATGAAAATGATGAAGTACACAATGGAGTCCTTAATGAGCGAAGGGTGGTACCGCGCATGTTGCTGCTCTCAGTGTATTCGCGGAAGGAGGGACTGACGACGGATTGTTTTCTCATTGATTAAAATCCTTTTCAATGGGTCGGCCGTGAAACGTTGAAAAGCGGTTGGTTGGTCGGCTAAAAAGCTCACTGAGTTGTTTTCGACGGGGGGTCGAGACGAAAGTATTTCGTGCGTCTAATTGCAGTCGCTCTAATTGCGCCTCCCTTTTTCTTTTTTATTTCCTTCTCTTTCTCTCTATTTCTTTCTCTTAGAGAAAAAAAATGAAAAAAAAATGAAAAAAACAAAGAAAGAGGGAACGATGAAAGAGCAATACACTAAGCTCGGTCGCACGCGCCACGACGAAGCGCGTGCCGCGACCCATCGAGAGAACCGTCGTCGTTGACTCGGTGGCTCGTTAAACGAAAATTAGAATTGATTTAGCTGCTAGATTGAACGGTACTTTATCTCTCTTTCTCTTCTCTTACACGCGGATGCAATCGCATGCAACCACGGCGCCGTTGCTAATAGCAGCGCGAGCCATTCCGAATCATCATACTGCGATTTTTCTATTTTATGAAATTTTCCAATTTTTTTTCCTTCTGTTTTCGTTCTCTTTTCTTTACATGATATATATTCCATTATAATTCTATAAAACGTATCGACGTGTAGAATTTTGATGAGATTTTAAAGAAACATTCAATAATGCGTCACTATCCATCGAATGTAAATAAATAATCGTTCCTTCGATCTTTTGTCGATTTATCAAAAATTTGTTGATGTTATTTTAGAGTATTGAAACCACCAGGCGGTGGAAGCAGCGACATCTTCGGCTCAACTCAAGACGAGACCAGTCCACGCCGTGTGAAGAATCACAATCAATCTCAGCTTGGTAGCGCATTATTCGGTGACGCACCCGATTCCAGCAACAACAGCAACAACGCGACCGGCAATATGGATAACAACGGCGGCGAGATTACACCACGCTCCGGCAAGCCCGGTAATGATTCATACAATCGCCTGTTTGGCCCTCCCGATGCCCCACCCACAACCCCAAACGCGAAAAATTACATGCGCAGCAATATACCCCTCAACGGGGATGATACAACGTCGCCCGCGAAAAGTACATCATCCAGCAACTCGAGCTCGAGTATCGTCAACGGCTTTACCAATAACAACTCTAACGTCAACGATATCACAGGTAAGGACATCGTCGTCCTTCGCTGATGGAGGACCACCAATCTCCCTTTTCCTCTTCCTCCTCCTTCTCCTCGTCCTCCTCATCTTCTTCCTCTTCTTCTTTTTCTTTTTCTTCTTTTTTTCTTTTTCCTTCGTTTTAATCATGAAAGTATCTAGATACAGATACAAGGATACACAGGCAGGCTAGGACATTTCAATGAAAACCTTGTGTGTGTGTGCGCGCACGTGTAAGTGTATATGTGTATAGGTGTGTAAGTGATAAGTGTAAATGTTTCTTGCTCTTTACGAATATGAAAAAATATTTTTGTTAACCCTTGAATGCTATCATAGCTAAATTTTCATCTAAAAGAAAAAAAAAAAGAACGACTTGTAACACTAATCCTTTGACTATTTGTTCAGACTATTATTAGTAACAATATTATCATAAAAACAATACTTTGCTATAAATGTAAGAAGCAAAATATGCTTGGAATGGTATTTGATGATAATTTTTAAGGGTAAATTGGAAAATGTAAAGACGAATAAAAGGAATTTTATTATTTACATTTTAAATTTGATTATTATAATATTTCAAAGGATAATGATATAAGGGCAGAAAAAAAAGTTATATAAATAAGATCAGCCATTATTATCAAGAAAACATTTTTAAGGGTTTCCATTTAAATGTCCCATCCTTTATGGTATTTACGCTCGTGTATTTTTTTTCTTTCTTTCTTTTTTTCTTCTTATCATTTATTATTATTTTTTTTACAACGTAACGACTTCTTTTGTATTTCTATAAAGGGTCGCCAGATTTTCTTTCACTGTCTATCTATCTGCCTATCTCGCTTTCTCTCTCTCCCCATCTCTTTCTATCTCTCTCTTTCTCTCCCTCTCTCGTTAAAATCAAGTAAGAACTTAGAAATGCACCAGACAGAGACGATATGCTTCGTGTTTCATAGCGGTACTCACTGTTTGGTAAAAAACTTACAGCGGGATATTTTATAGACAGAAAGAGAGAGGGAGGGAGGGAGGGAGATGGAAAATAAATTGCTTCGCTGAATAACGTATCTTGAGTACTTGTATCTGGACACTACCGATTACTACTATACTATGTTTTTCGTCTTTCCTTAATATATATATATACATACTTATATATACCTATATATATATACGAAGCACATTGTGGCATCGATTTATCTTTATATATAAATATATATATATCTATATAGAAAAATCTATCTTAAAATATGTGTCCGCACGTTGCAGGCTCTCGCGGTATAAAAATCGTATGTCACAAGTTGGTCTTCGTTTCTTTTAGTATTGTAAGCTAGAGATACGAGAACATATGGAAAGTAGAATTAGGATTTTCAATGTTTTGTCTAATGAAAAAAAAAAAAAAAAAAAAAAAAAAAAAAAAATAGATATAAAAAGTAAAAAAATGATAATAACACACGAACAAAGAAGATTGCTATCATCATTGCAATGAGAAGAAAGATTTTGATCAGGTGCGCATTTTTTTGGATGAAAAAGGCAATAAATTTTTCTTTCTTTTTTCTTTAAAAAAAGAAACTAATTAAAAAGTTTATAAAGATTTATGAAAGCGATGGGATTCTCTGATTGATGATTTAAAATTTGAATTGATTATATTAATCGATGTGGAAATATATATATAGCATGATACTTAAAAAAATATATTTCTTTTTATTTATATAAATATGTACGTATGCATATACATATCTGACTAATAATCTAATGAAAAATGAATTTTCCTTAAACTGTTCGCAAGCAGCTTTTAGGAGAATCAAACGATTTCGTAAGTGTGCAATGAAAAATATTTGAGTAGAAGATACAAACAACATTGACCCTATTACACATATTCTCTTTCTCTCTCTTTCTATCCTTTTTTTGTTGCAAATAGTCATAGAAAATACATATATAGTTTTGATTTGTCATACGTCATGAAAATGTCCTTTATATTAGAGAGATATATATTTGTATATTATTATTGAACCAATTTTTTATTCGATTTAGGCCATATTTTTTTACATCGTATACAAAAAGTAAAACAGAGTAGGGCCTGCCACAGCAAACCGAAACACATATTTTGAG